GGCTGAGGGATTTTTTATTTTTCTATTTGAAGTCTGTGATTGGGTGCAGCGGCGGCGGTGGCAGGAGCTCGGTTGAAAACTAAACGGGTTGGGGAAAAAAAAAGAAAGAAAGGTAGAGGAGGGAGAAAGAGACTGACGGAAGAAAAATGAAAAATTTAGTTTAATCTTTTATCGTTCGGACGCGAGAGCGAGGGAAACGAGTCTGCGATCGCCAGGTGGTAGTGGTGCTTGGTGTTAGGTGGGTATAGTGGAAGAGATGAATTATGTTTTTCTTGCGCGCCGGACTCGTGTTATACACACACATACACACAGCCGAAAGATGACGCGTACTGATTGTTTCGAAGTTGGAATTTCCTTTACTTGGTTTTTTTTTCTTCTCATTTTTCAATTAGCTGGTTGAAAAATCTCGTAATCGATGAAGATTGCTTTTCTTCTTACTTGCTCGCTGTGCGGCTACATACCTATATAGGAGAACCGCAGGACGAAAACCACACGTTCCCCACACACACACACGTACGCGTATACTTTGGCGCAAACAGTCCATCATGACTCTTTGTCAAGTTCTGACTGACTGTAAGTTCGAGATGTGTACGTGTGTGAGCTTGTGTGTTATTGCATGTGTGCAGCAGCAACCCGCAAGGAAACTGCACACACACACATACACACGCGTGTCACTCTGTATACTGTATACTATACGCGGCGGCGGCGGCGACTACTCCGCACGTCGTAAATCAACTTCACTTCTTGCGCGCGTGGGCAAAAACGAAAGCTTTTCTCACTCTCCGCAAACTATCGTATATCACTCGTGCGTGCGTATGAGTGTGTATGTGTGTGTGTGCACGGATGCATGATCCGCGCGCGTAGGCGCGCACGTGGAATTTCGCATTATAATATAATAAGTTTTGTTGCGCCTTATATAAGAGTGTGCTGGGAGTCAAGAATGGTGAGAAACAAAAGTATACAGGCCCAAAGCTGCGAACGATTTACCGCGTTAAAATTCATTGAACAATGAGATTTCCAGTATATTTTTGGTTTTACTATGTTTGCATGTTGCTTTAGTGATTGAAATCAGCTCTTCGTTCCAAAAATACTCTTACTTAATGGTAAAACTTTGCCTCTTCTCTTTTGATTAACTGAAAAATTCGGCCGTACTCCATCTATCGGTAACTCATAAAAAAACTATCTATCAAACAATTACTATAAATATGTTATAATATTAAAAGTTATCTTCGATTGCACTGTGTAATTTGTTGTTGAATTATATTTTTCGTCATTTGGAATAAAAGGGCACAGGTTTTGATATTAAAGTTCTTTATTTTCCCAACCTTTCGGTCACTAGTTCGTGACCCGTTTCAGGAGAACTATATACAAATATCATAATAAAGATTACAAAATTTGGTAAATTTATACACCGAAAGTATAATCAGAAATAACGATAGTGTACCTGTCAGTTGATAAAATTTTATTAATCTGACAATACTTACGTATTGTTAGACACTCAACGATTAATTAAAATGAGCGTATATACAAATATATTGAGAATCTATCTTTATTTCGTGAAAAAGGGGATTGTAAGGATTCGACTTCTATACTTGATCGTACGAATGTTGTTGATAAGCTGTCGTGCACTATTTGTAGTTCCACGAACATTGGTTAGACGAAGAGACAATTGAAAGAAAGGATAGCTGAACATCTTAGAATTAGGTTACACACGATGATAATAATGATCTGAAAATAGCTCTTACTTAATGTAAAGACTTTGCTTTTTCTCTTGGGGTTTTCATAAATAAAGCCATACTCCATCTTGTGGTAAATCGTGAATTATCGCTCAACTACAAAGAATAGTTCAAATACGTGAAATTTTTTAAAACGCTTCTGGATTCATTAAAATTTAGTCTTTTTCAAGCCCTCTGCGTTACTTTTTATACGAATATTGTAATTAAAAATGATAATGTAATAATCAGTTTTTAAGTCTTTATTTCGTAAAATATTTCGGTTAAAACGTCTTTATTAAAAGTACTTAAAACTTACCTATAAGTTTTAGGCGTAAATATAGCCACGCAGTTTTATTTTTTTTTCGCGTCAAACTTTTTCTCTCGCTTTCGACTTGGAAAGGATACCTCGGATCTGTACAAATAGTCGCATATGCACGCAAAGATTTGATCGGCAGCCAAAAGAGACGTGTGCTCGAGTATACATGCATTCAGAGTAGCATACACAGCGACGAAGTCAGGTCGGGGGCCCGTCTACAGGTACGGGTGTGTCGATTCGATACGTATCTGATCGTCTTTTGTGTGTACACAGAAAAGCTCCTACACATTCGTCGCTTCCGCTCGACTGTGCGCGACTCCTTCTTTTTGCCAAATATATCGCGTTGTACATACATGCATTACATATGTCTCGCACCTGTTTGTTGGCAGCAGCGGCGGCAGCAAAAAAGGAGAACGGGAACAGGATCGCGCGACACAAAAACCGCTAATTCCACGCCTCGCCTCGGAACTAGGATACGTATGCGTGTATCAATATGCACTGCATTTGTACGTTGTACGTTCAAGCATGTGTGTGTGTGTGTGTGTGTGAGCTGCAGGGGTTGAAGTACATATATACCCAGGAGCTCGCGTCTTTTTATTTGTCACCCTCGAGCTTATTCCCTCGAGTGCCTCCGCTCGAGCGAGTTGCGAGCGAGGAAAATGAAAGACGTCGTCGTGTTATACTCGCTGGCGTATTTTATGTATATATACACTTGTGTGTATACGTATGGGTATACCCGATATATTTGCGTACATCAATTCGACGCGTATATTTTATAATTTCAAGTTGAGCTTGCGCGGGAGCTTTTTTTCTTTTTTTTATTATTATACGCATAAACGTGTGCGAATTCATCCGTTCTCGCGGCTCTGCGGGGAATTCGGATCATTTGTCAAAATAAAAAAGGAGGAGGAGGGAACGAAGAAGGAGAAAAGTTTATCCTCGAGGAATATTTTATTTTTTTTATACAGATATCCAGCAGCGGCAATGCGCTCCAAGAGTGGATGATCCTCTCTCTCTCACACACTCTGGCGCGTAACGATCGCGAGCGAGCGAGCTAGCTCTCTAGCGTTCGCGCGAGTTTATGTACATTATACATCTCTTCCTCTTACTCTCAATTTTCGCGATGAAATTTTCTCTCTCTCTCTCTCTCTCTCTCTTAAAGGAGGGGAGGTGGGCGTCGAGAAATTATTTTTTACCGCTCCGTTATATACCGACGTTTCCAAGCGTTGCAAGCTGCAGCTATATCCTTGAAAAAATACTTTCGCGTGTTGAACGTGCATAAAATGTGTGTGTGTATATGCGCGCGTGTATATATCAGTGCAAACACCGATGCTAAGAGAGCATGTAGGGTAATTGCACTTCACCACCGCCACCAACCACCCCCTCGCGCTCGTGGACTGAGCGAGCGAGAGAGGAAAAAATATTTCGCAGCTCTCGAGCTCGTTCGAATTTACGCTCTCTCTCTCTCATTAAACGCTCGGCAACGTGGAATAATCCTCGCTCACGCGCGCCTGTATCAATGTCTTTCCGAAATTTCGTATACGCGATTATTCGTCGAGTGCGTCGATTCGAGTCAACGAACCGAAGACAGCTCGAAGCAGAGCTGTATACACGTGTATACAAACGAACACATATCTCGTTGTCGACGACTTACGCCGCGCGAATCGATGTATATTAACGCGGGTAGAATAGGCAATTATGATTCGGCGAGTTCTACGCAATCACGCCTCGTTATTATCGTTATGTCATTTGCACCTGATTCGCCGCGTTTACGTAACCACATCATCATCGACGACAATAACAAAAACAGCAAAAACGACAAAAAGGCAGCCCCCACCGCAGCTCGTTGATTTTTTGCTTCTGCGTGTATCCCAGCAGCCTCGACGGTCCTTGCGGGGGTGTAGGTATCAATCATTCAAGCACACTTCCTTCTCCTCGCTGGTGGCTCTCCTCTGCTTTTGCCACTGATTTTCCTTCTCTCCTTCTCTTCTCTCTTGTTTTCCGTTTTCTCTCTCTCGTTACCCGCCTCCCGCGCGCTTTGGCCCGAGCTCTGGCGCCGGCTACCTAACTATGTATATACACTTCTGCTGCTGCTGCTGCTTCTGTGAACTTGTGTACCTATATAGACTGGGTTGCACTGCTGAACTCTCACCGCGCGCGCGAGCGCCCGGGCTCTGCATCCGTGAAAGAGAGAGAGAGAGAGAGAGAAAATTATGAATAAGGCATGAAAATGCGCCAAAAGTCAGGGTGGGAATAAATCGTCCCTCTTCTACTCCTATATACTTTTACGAATACACTAGCGTTAGTAGTATATATTCGCTTCAACATCAACATCATCGACGTCATCGTTGAATACACCTTCGGCCAATTTTTTTTCTCAATTTGTTAATCCCTGAGCTTTCTAGTTTTTAAATTGAATTTATTGATTTGGTTGGACTTCAATTTACGTGATATTTTTCGATTTAAATTACGTGAGGAATTATATTCCAAAATTCATCGTAATGAGGTGTCTTGTTTGATTATGAGCTTTTTAATTCTACCTACAGATGGAGTATTATAAAGTCGCAAGTGGCAAAACAAATTCTCGGTTGAAATAAAGTTTTCCCAAAAGTTCAAATATTGCTGGCGAAGTTAGTGTTTGATATTATCGTTAGCAAGCTTGAATTCTAAATCCGCTCTTGTCTATCAAACGTAGAGTAAGAAACTCAATCGATGCAAAGTATCTAACGCTCGGACGATGTGTCGGAGTTCTGGTATATACATCCAAGTGTCACCGAAACTTTCGAGGCTTTATGTATGTATAATACACTATGCCCAGACGCAAATTCATTAATGCAGCCTGTCCGATGGGAACGTGTATACTATACATTATAATACAACATAATAACTCTTTGTCCCGATTTCTCAAAGTCTCCGCGGCTAGAAACTCTATACATACTAATTACGGCTATTTTCCTTTCATTTTCCAGCGCCAACGGAGAGAAGTAGGAAGAGTCGGAAGAGGAGGAGTCGGCAGCGGCGGCGGCCTACCGATACCACTTCTGGGCTCACGTCTCCGCGCGACCAAGCGGACATAACGATGTAATCGATCGGTTTTTCCTTTCGGAGGAAGGGGAGAGTGAGCGGGAGAGAGAGAGAGAGGAGGGAAGAGTCGAAGCTGGCACACACAGGACAGGCCTGCGCCGCCCGCGCCTTCGTTATCGGATCATTATACCGAACGAACGAGAGATACACACAAAAGTTCGCGAGTTCGCGGAGGAGCCAATCGGGGGAGAAGATCCATATATTTAGTATATCATTATTATAAAGTCGATCGATCGATCATCGACGTCGTCGCTTCGTTTTTTTTGTCTCGCGGGGTTGGAGGACACAATAATGCTCGGTAGAAGCGGCTGCAGCTTGGGGACGACGCTACAACAACAACAACAACAACAACAACAACAACAACAACAACAACAACACCATAACAACAGCAACAACATCGACAAGGACGACGAGGACTTCAAGACGAGGCCCAACAACAACGACAACAGTAGCAGCAGCAGCAGTAATAATAAACACCAGAAAGCCGCCAACAACAGCAGCAGTCCACCGGTAGTTGAGGCAGCGGAGGACACCGAGGATGTGGACCAGGCCCGATCCTGCGGCCCATCCACGGCTGGCCGAGCCGCTACTACGCGACTATGCCTGGATGGACTGCGGATAGGCAGAGACCGCTATTGTGATTATTACCCAGCCGCAGCAGCAGCAAAATTACCGAGATGCTACTACCGCCTGCTACAGCCCGACAGATTGTGAATGATGATGCGACGACATGAAGCGACGTACTGGACACCTCAGCTGACCCCAGGTGAGGCGTGAATTATCAAACCTTGAGAGGACGCACGTCGATTACTGTAAAATAAAAAAAAAACATGAAAATTAAATGTTAACGTTGAAATGTTTGGTTTTTGATGAAAATGTACATCAGGAAATATATCAGGAGATAATTTTTCATCAAAAACCAAAAATTTCAATATTAACATTAAATTTACAAGATTTGACACTGGTGCGTTCCCTTAACTTATATTTGCATTTTTTTTCAATACTAATAGTTTTCTCGTGATATTTGCAGAAGGCGTCCACCTTCAGCGTGGCGAAGGAAGGTTGTGATTGATCCCGGTTACGCGAAAAAAGTTATATCCTCAACCAATTATATATATTGTAAGATATATATCGATTATAATAGAGAGAAAAAAAACATAAGACTACGTCGACAACAGCACCAACAACAATATACCAACCATGAAGACGAAGTGCGACTAAAAAAAAGTGTGTGAGTGTTTACATGTTTTTATTCTCCTCTCAACCCGAGATTCCCCTTCCGATTATCATCGCAATTATCGATACACCGAGTCTAGTGTGTTCCAACGAAGAAATTTACAAGATAAAAAAGTGAAAATGTGCCGACGAAACGAGAAATAAAGAAGAGAGAAGTAAAATTTCTACGTATCGAAGATTGTTGAGCAATTTTTCGCAAAAGTTCGGGACACCGCGAGTGCCAGTGTATTCAGTTGAAGAAGAAGAAAATATAAAATAAAGAAATTTAAAAAAGAAACATCGGATAAAGTTTCAATCGAGCAATATTATACATATACGAGATATATAAATAAATAAATCATACATAAAATAAAGTGAGCGCGACAAATTGCTGTGCGTGCGCGGAATTATATATATTTATAAAGAATATATATATATACAAGTGACAAAAGAAAAATAAGTGTGTGAGTGTCTGAGTGTGCGAGTGAGTGTGGGTGAAAACACAGTTTCACAAGCGGATAACAGAGGAGAGAAAGGATGCCAGGGGGTCGCAGGGGCCTGGTAGCCCCGCAAAACACATTTCTCGAGAACATCATCAGGCGCAGCAGCAGTCAACGTGAGTTTGATTATTTTTTCGCTTATGTTTATTTACAAAGACTATCCTCGAAGAAATGCTCAACATTTTATGGATAGTTTTTGGCCAAAGAAATAGTTTCTTAGACTTCTAAAGGAGCCTTTTAAACTAGAAATAATGCCAGAACTTCCCGTACGTTCAGAGCCAAAAATGGCTCCGTGACTTATACAATTGTTTTGACTTTGCCACTTGCAAATTTTATATATGAAGGCACTCGCCATCTAGTGGTGGAAACTTTAGGTAGCATGATCATATTCAACGAGCTTGAAAACTAAACTAAATTTTTTAATACGGCCAAATGGTCATTTTTAGGTCAATTGTAAAATCATAATAACTAAAAAAACTGTTAAAAACAATCTAATCACTGCAAATGTATTTTAAAACATTCTAAATGATAATTTTTTTGGTCAATAAGTCATTATTATTGTTGAGCATTTCTACCAGAGTTAAATTTCTCGATTTTTTACGTGGTGTGAAAATCAATCAAACCCGATTCTCATTACCAAGCTCGAATATAATCTCAAATAGTACCGTAACATAAACAACAGGAATAGCTATAAGAATCTAAATTACAGTTCTTTAAAAATTATTTTGTAACGCAATATTTCCTATGCCATTGCGAGGAGTATCGACTGTTTCGCTAGATTTTTTTTTTGTTTTCCAACCTGACACGGGTAAACATGACATTTAATACCGGGGCTGGGACAAGCAACGATTTTGTGTGCTGAAATGTCATTTTTCAATTTAACGCTATCGAGTTTTCCGATGACAAATGAAGTGTCAAATATCATATCAGGTTGTCTATGGTTTTATGTTCTCCGACGATAACATTCGATTTTATGAAAATTTCGTAGCACGATTGCAAACAATTTTGCATATCATGCATATTTCAGGCTTTTGATTCGATCAGGATATTGTGCATCGAATTAGCTTCGATATTAAGCAGGAAATCCTTAATTACAATATTATAAGCTAGCCTTAAAATAATTCTAAATCCGTCTGGACAATGTATTATACATCGCGATGATGAAAAAAGTATAAATCCAGCGATTCTTACCAGTTGCATCGTGAAAAAAGGGTCACAAGCACAAGAACTTGTGCTTCGTATCGCGTGTCGCAAGCGTTACAGCAAGCGCACTATTTTATATATATAGGGAAGGGATTAAATAGCCGTAATATATTTTTTAACGACTATTACAACGTATATGACGCGATAGCTTGACCGCGGGGATCTATGTTTCGCAGTGGTCTAGCCTCGGTGCACTTTCTTATGTTTTTACTTTTATGACTGACGCGTGATTCGAACTCCTCTAGCTTTTCTCTCGTTTTCTCCTCTTTCCTTGTCTTTTTTTTTCCTCGAAATTCAAGTGCTGCCCGAGAGGACGATATATAATCCACCACACACGTACACGCATACAAACGTATCTCCACCCCCTCCTGGCTCCATAAACACGTCACTCTCGCCTCGCGATGACGCGTTAAAAAAAAGGCAGAAAGAACCACTTTTTAAAGCTCGAATAAGAGAGATGAGCCGTACCGCTGATGTGGGGTCACAGCAGCACTAGTACTATAGTACTAGTATAGTTATAAAGGAACGATGATACGATATTTTTTCTCTCTGCTCTTTTTTCATCTATATGCATACGTATACCGTGTGTGGACGTACGTCCTTGTTACCGTTTCGCGAGCTGTCGTTTATTTCCTGCCTATTGTTCCCATTTAGAGCCCCGCCGCGCCGACAACTACGACGACGACGACGAGTTGCAACGTATATAAACGAGTATGACAAAAAAAAAAAGAAAAAAAATTGTTGGCTCTCGCGCGCATACGACGACGACGACGCGCAGCACTTGACGACTTGAGATTTTGTAGTTCTTCGGCCCGACGACGACGATGCCAATATTATAAGAGCATACAGCGCGCGCGATGATGGACATAAACCTTATTGGATAATACCGACGCTAGTGAGTGTGTGTGAGTGTGTGTGTATAAGCGACGAAAAACGAGGCTGATTAAAAAAAAGAAAGAAAGAAAGATGAAGAAAGTATGAAGAAAGTATGAAGAAAAAAAAGGCTGCCGAATCGTTTCGCGTAGAAGAAAGAATAGCGCAATTTTCCGAGCGTCTTCTTCTTCTTTTTTTATCTATATATACTCTGCGCTCGGTTGATTACACGCGAGACGTCATTTATAATGCGCCCGTTTGTTTGTCGCCGAATCGAAATTTCAACTCCCTTATCTTCTCGTTATACCGAGAGCCGAGGAGATCGTTTTCCTCCGATTACGTTACACACATACAATGTTCAAAAAAAAAGAGAGAAAAAACGACTGAAAGAAAAAAAAACCCAAATCGATACATTGCAATTCCGGACGCGAACGGGCAAAAAAGTTACCCGCGCGCACCGCACAGAGCTACGGTAGCCTCCACAGGAGCTCAAGCCAACTAACTAACTAACTTTCGAGCAGCGAGAGAGAGAAAAAAAGTCAACCGCAACTTTTTTATATTTCGCCGCCGAAAAACTTTTTATATAATATCGAACGAGCTCTCTCTGGGTTATGGCCGAGCTTTTACACATGTGTGTGAGTGTGCGAGGAGGGTCAGTGGGCACACGATGGATACTCATAAAAAAAAGAACCATATCCTATGGTACATACGTATACACCATGTAATACCATTCATATTTCCCAAAGTTTTTTTTTTCTACCTATATCTATTCGTCTCTCTCTCGCTCTCGAACGGCTCATCGATAAGCCGCCGCTCATGAGAAAATGGGAAAAAACTGCGAGCTCGCGTTTAACGAGCCGTTATATCTGTCGTTTACATGATTCATGATTATTTTTTTTTTCTCAAAGACTCGGCACTATACATAGACAGATGCAAGGTAAAACACGACGGTATAAGCGGCTGGTTTTTTTGCTTTTTTTATCATCCATCGTACCGAGATGATGTATCGATTGTTCATAATACAACGTATACACTGATTTTTATCCTCGCCGCGACGGATGATAAATCACACACGAAGCGCGTTATAATCACTCGACGATTTGATCGGATAAGACGCTTATAAACCGGGGGAACTGGTATACTTATAATATATACGATCTATCTGTGGCCGGCAATTAAAACTTCGGTAACGAAGCTCGCGGGCGATATCGTCCAAATGAAAAGGGAAAAATTGCGCTCGTAATCTCGTCTCTCCGGTTGATGTATTCAAATTAGCCACGTCCTCCACGCACGCTTGTGTGTGTTTACGCAGACCACGTGCTGCTGCTGCTGGGGGGTGCAAAAACAAAGAGCGCATGGGAGTTGCATATATATGCGGTCGTTTGCTTACATTGTGTGTGTACCTCGATATACTGTACGGCGAGCTTGCGCGTACATGCATATATTATTATTATTATTATTATTATCGTTATATTCTCGATACATACAGGTGTGTGCGTATCTCTATATATGTACGTGTGTTTGCGCGTGTGTTATTTGCGTATAGGTATGAGGGATATTGCTCGGCATCGGCAATTTCGAAATATAATACCACTCGAGCTCTCTCGTCCCGGGCTCGCTCGCTCGCCTAGCTCTCTTTGTTTCTCTTTCTCCGCGTGCTGTGCTGCTGCTGCTGCATTTACTCTCTCTCTCTCCCTTTTGTCCGTATACTGCACTACTGCCGTGCTTAGGTTTGAAATTGCTCCGCGCTCGCGACACATCGTGCCGAGGCAATGCAAATATTTGCTCTTTGTCTCTCTCTCTCTCTCTCTCTCTCTCTCTCTTCTCTTTCCATTCGTCTTTATTTTCTACCATTCGTATATACTACTATGCACGAGCTTGCAGTGGCATATATATATGTATAAGCGTAGACGAGGTGAACTCTTGCGCAGCGAATATAAGCAGCATGAAAATTTTGTTTACCTCATAAACGCAAGCTCACGCGCGCGCGTTTCGCCGCAGCAGCATCGGCTCCTTTATGCATTAGCCGAGCACATAACGCGCGAGCTTGTGTGTATACAATTAAATCGTATGTGTGTGTATGTGACTGAACCGAACAGGCAAATTATATACGATTCGTTTGCCAAATTAGAGCCGGGGGAGGATTCTTATAATGGAACTGCGATTAATATGAATAAATTTGTTTTATTTTTTTAATATGCTGAGAGTGACAGAAAGCGTAGAGAGCCGCGTGTGCGTGTTCTCGGAACATCATTCATTTTTAGCATTGTTTGTTTTGTAAATACGCGAGCTTATTATGGATAAAATAAAATCAACGCGAGGGCAAAGTATTCTCTCAAGTTTATCGCGCATAAATAAAAGTTAACGATGAAACGGTGAACTTGTATGTACGAAACGTCGGTTGGTCCTCGACTGATACGCGTTGAAAAGTACCGCAATCGGCCGCTAGGCGGCCCAAGACTACTTTGAGCGCAGAGCTGCTGATACCCATAAATGGAGTCATCGAGATTAGAGAATATAAACTGCGAGAATGCACTCACTTTCTATTAGACTATCTCTGTAACCCACCTTTTTTCGCAAGGTTCTTGACTTCTTCTTGCTTCGAAGTACTTTACTTGTAGCCTCCCTGAAAATAGTTTCGTACAATTTTTTCTCATCCTCTGGAAGCTGATTGTACGTTGATACAATCGCGAGTTGAACAAACGTGCACCTCTTCACCCACATTGTCCGCACCAAGTTCCTTTGCAATTCTTTTTACTTTGGGTTTTTTTACTCTGGCTTCAGAGGTTTCTCCTTCAACAGCTCTTCATTTGCATTCAATGGATTGCTCCTGGTATTCTGATGCGCGACTGATGCTCGACTAAACGATGACTGCAGGTGAATAATTGTAGCACCGAGCGGATATCGCATACATTCCAAGGACTTTAAAAGAAACGCCGTGTTATGCTTGACTATAAAGCGCTGACGGGGTCCAATCGCCTGAGGGATCGCACAAACCTTTCTTCATGGTCACCAAGCGGCCGAAATGAGAAAGACAGGA